ATTGATTTGGAGAAGTTACGCAATGAGCAGCTCGCCGACACTACTTGTGCTCGATTGATCTCGTCACTACAGTCGCAACAGGAAGTCCCCTCAGGGTACCACCTACAGAATGGTCTCCTTTGTTTCTGTGGCCGCCTGGTGTTGCCTTAACACTCTCCTTGGATCTCGCTGTTGTTACAGGAATTCCATGACTCGGTCATTGGTGGCCACTTAGGGTTTCTTCGCACCTATTAAGCGCATTGCTGCCAATGTTTTCTGGCCGGGTATGAAGAAGGCTATCCAGGACTATGTCACTCACTGTGAAATTTGCCAGAAGTCCAAATATGAGGCTCTTTCTCCAGCAGGCTTACTACAACCCCTCCCTATTCCGGACAAAGTTTGGGACGACATCTCCATGGATTTTATTGCGGGGTTGCCGCGGTAAGGGTATTGACACGATCCTTGTGGTGGTGGACCGCCTTTCTAAGTATGCTCATTTCTGCCCGATTGCCCATCCCATTACCGCCAAGCATGTGGCAGAGGTCTTCATCCAGGAAATTGTGCGCTTACATGGGGTGCCTCGCTCCATAGTGAGTGATCGCGATCTAGTCTTCATGAGCTTGTTTTGGCGGGATCTTTTCAAGCAACAAGGCACTCAGCTGCACACCAGCTCTTCCTATCACCCCAAATCGGACGGCCAAACCGAGGTCGTTAACCGTTGTCTCGAGAGTTACTTGCGATGTTTTTCCTTTGACAAACCGAAAGGGTGGGTGCAGTTCTTACCTTGGGCAGAATTTTGGTTTAACACCACCTATAACGCATTGACCGCCCAAACACCGTTTCAAGTTGTTTATGGCCGTAGCCCGCCTACTTTACTCCGTTTCCAGGAGGCCCCATCAGTCCCACCCACCGGTCCTTCTGTGGTAGAAGATGTGGGGGTGTATGGATAGGTCCCCGCCTAGGCCTCCTATTAAGTTTACCTATTCTAGAAAGGGTAAAAGAGGGAATGTGAGCGTAGAGACCGAGGCAGTGGAGGGTAGTGCTGAGGTGGCGAAGTTTGTTAGAGGAATCTGTTAGAATAGTCGACTCAGAGAGGTTATAAGGGAGAGTAGAGGGGTAGGAGAGGGGGAGCGGAATTTGTTAGAGCGTTGAGCTGAATTTGGGAGGTAGAGGGTCCTCGAAACCCCTCAGTCTTTTTCCTGGTATTTCTCTAGACTAATTCTCTAAGATATCCGACGAAGTCTCTATGTAATGCTGGAAATGAAAGTGATTCAGTAATAAAAGGAGCCAGAACCCCTTTTTCTGGTTATTCAGTGTTAGATCTTTGCATTCTGTGTTGTTTATCTTTGAAAGATTTCCAGGTTCCTATCATCTTCCTGTCCTTTACTGAATCCTGGAGGCATTTCCATGTAGACTTCCTCTTCTAATTCGCCGTTTAAGAAAGCATTCTTTATGTCGAGTTGCTGCAGGGGCCAATCCAAATTAGATGCCAAGGATAGGAGGACCCTAACTGTATTTAGTTTTGCCATAGGAGCGAATGTCTCGGTGTAGTCGATGCCATTAGTTTGCGTAAAGCCCTTGGCAACGAGACGAGCTTTGTATCGTTCTTTCGTTCCATCAACTTTGTATTTGAGGGTAAACACCCATTTGCATCCTACTGGTTTCTTCCCTCTTGGTAGCTCCATTACCTCCCAAGTCTCATTTTTCTTCAATGCTTTGATTTCCTCCATGACTGCGTTTCTCCACTCAGGAACGGCTAGTGCCTCCTGTATATTCTTTGGAATTTCTGTACTATTGAGGTTAGAGACAAAAGCTCAAAAGTTGGTGGATAAGTTCTTTTGTGACACAAACTTGGAGATGGGGTGAAGTGTACATGAACGAGGTTTTTTCCAGTGAGCTATGGGAAGATCAATATCGGGAATTGCAGGAGTATTGGAAATACCTTTTTCTGTGGTTGGCTCATTCTTTCATGGATCTATCACCGGGCTAGACTCTCTTGGTGCTTCGGAAGTGAGGTTGTCTTGCTTTTTCGACTTTGGCCTTCTCGAGTAGACTTGCAACTCCCTGTTCTTTTGCTTTTCCACATCTCCCCTTGAGTTCAAGTGTCCTTCTGTATATGGCATATTGGAATGAGAAGGAAGAAGGGTGGTGTTTTCTGTGTTTGAGATAGACTTAGAAGGAAGAAGTTCAAAATCCACAAAACGATCTTCATTAGAAATCTCCCCCTGAAGAGGAGTTTTTTGGAAGAAAGGAGTGTTTTCAAAGAATGTAACATCAAGACTAACAAATACCTTTTTTGTAAAGGGATTAAAGCATTTGTAGCCCTTTTGTTTTGGAGAATAGCCAATGAACACACACTTAGAAGCTCTAGGATCCAACTTACTTCGATTTTGAGAGTGAACATGAACAAAGGCAGTACAGCCGAACACTTTGAGAGGTAAATTTGAGGGTAGACGTGAGGTGGAAAAGACTTTCTTTAGAGTATTAAGTGGAGTTTCAAACGAAAGGACCCGACTAGGCATCGTATTGATGAGATGGGCAGATGTTAAGATAGCATCTCCCCAGAACATTTTAGGCATATGGGCAGTAAACATTAAGGCTCGGGCCACTTCCACCAAGTGTTTGTTTTTTCGTTCGGCAACTCCATTCTGTTGTGGAGTGTCGACACATGAACTTTGGTGAATAATGCCATTTGACATTAGGAAATCTCCTAGGATAGAGTTAAAGTATTCTATTCCATTATTTGTACGCAACATCTGAATTCTAGTTTGAAATTGCATTTGGACCATGGAGTAGAAATTTTTGAACACTTCACGGACATCTGTTTTGTCTTTTAGGAGGTAAACCCAACAAACCCTAGTATGATCATCAATAAACGTCACAAACCATTTTGTGCGAGTACGAGTAGGAATACGAGGACCCCATAGGTCACTGTGAATCATAGTGAATGGTTTGGAAGGTTGGTACTTTGATTTTTTAAATGAAGTACGTTGATGTTTAGCAAACAAACAAATTTCACACTAAAAAACATAAATATTTTTATTGGAAAAAATAGAAGGAAACAAGTGTTTCATGTACTGGAAACTAGGATGACCCATTCTAAAATGCCATAACATTATTTCACTATCCCTAAGAGTAGATGCAGAATTGCAAATTGCAGTTTGAAGCTGACCCCTCGCCTTGGCCTTATCAAGGTAGTAGAGTCCCTCACATTCTTTAGCACTGCCAATCGTCCTCCCCGATGACAGGCCTTGAAAAACACAGTGAGAAGGGAAAAATTTAGCACAACAATTGGAATTTTTTGTCAATTGACTAATTGATAACAAATTGCAAGATAAGTTTGGGATATGAAGGACAGATTCTAGGGTTACAGAATCGGAGATTTTTACTATCCCTTTTCCTGCAACCGTCGAGAGGGAACCATTTGCAATTTTTACTTTGATGTTGCCGGCTCAAGGTGAGTATGTGGAAAAAATATGATAATTACTGGTCATATGATCAGATGCACCATAATCGATAATCCAAGGAATTCTGTTTTGAGAAATAGTATTCAAGGCTTTTAAAAAATTACCTCTGTGGGCTAATGAACCAGAAGACACATTATTGGAGGACTGACCAGTAGATTGGAAGTTTGAGAACATTTTATAAAGCTGCTCCATCTGTTCCTGACTGAATGGAGTTTTTGCTTGAGACTCGCTGCTGCTGACATCAATTTTCCTCTCCTTCTGATCATCAACCGAGGCTTGATATCCTCAGTTTTTGTTCATCTGACGTGGCATCCAGTTCGGCAGTTTCCCGTGCAATTCCCAGCAAGTATCCTTTGTGTGACCAGTCTTGTGGCAGTGCTCCCACTAGGGTTTTTTCCTTTGCTGATTTTTGGCCTGGTCCATTCGGTCCCCTTTTTGTCATCAGCGCGGATGTTTTTGCTCCAGAGGTAGTCGGCACAAAGGAGGCAGGGAGTTTCAACATCACCTTGCGCCAGTTTTCTTCTCGTCTTACCTCTGAAAAAACTTCACGGATTGAGGGCAACGGTCTCCTACCAAGAATCCTTCCTCTCACCTCGTCTAATTCTTGGTTGAGTCCAGCTAGAAATTCGAAGACTATTTCATTCTCCAGCCTTTTTTGAATCTCACGCTGTCTCCAGAGCATTCCCATTCTTCTTCATAGCTCATATTGAGTTCCTGCCAAAGAGTCTTCATCTTTGTGTAGTACTCAGTGACTTCCCTTTCTTCTTGTCTCATCTGCCATAACTAAGTCTTAATCTCGAATATTTAGGAAGAATTCTCCACATCAGAGTATGTCTCTCGCACGGCATCCCAGACCTCTTTTGTTGTTGGAAGGAACATATAGGTTTTACCGATTGAAGGCTTCATTGAGTTAACCAGCCACGCAGTTACCATCGAATTTTCTGATTTCCACTTCTGAAGAGAGGCATAAGTTGAGGATGGCTTCTTGGTTTCACCAGTGAGATATCCCAATTTGCCTTTTCCATCAATCACCAGTTTGATCGATTGAGCCCATTCGAGAAAGTTTTTCCCGTTGAGTTTCTCAACCGTGAACTGGAATGTGGAGTTCTCGGACCCATTCGACGTCATGGTATTGGTGACCTCCGTCGTCGTCTCGCCGGTGGTCTCCGAGGACATTGAACTCGCCATTGATTGCCAAGGTTAGAAAAACCTCGGCTCTGATATCATGAAAGCAGGAACGTTGCTTTCTGTTTTTCTATATTGAATGAATATTCTGTACATAGGGCTCCTATTTATAATACAATTATGAAAATCAACTTTCCTAAAGTTATGGCCTAGAAATCAGGAAAGTGATCTGCTGAATTAAAAAACAAATCAGGAAACAATTTATCCTAAATCAGGAGACTGATTTCTATGCACTAGATTCGGGATTTCAACAACTTTCACTTTTAAGGACTCTCTATCCTTAATGTGTCTTTGTTTTACATAATAGTTTGTCAGGGAAATGATGTTTCTACTCTTAGTTGGATTATATTCATGAGGGTGCTTTTGCAGATAAATCGAACATCAGAACTTGCTCGTGTATTTGGCATTGACTTTTTCTCAGTTCTCTCAAGGGGTTCACAATATCGCGTTGAGTCCATGTACTTGAGATTGGCACATACACAAAATTATCTAGCTATTTCTCCCGGGAATCATCAGGTTTGTGCTACATCATCTCTCACTGTCTTCTAAATTGTGGCATATGATATCTTTTATTTTCTCTTCTTCCCCTTGGGATTTATTAAGCACGAAGTAATACCTTTATGAATTAATTGCCATGTGATTTGGTAAGTGACTGATCGGTGCCTCAAATTTATGCTATCTAGGTTGCTTCTCAACCTGCAATGGAATGCCTGCCACTTGTAATGGAACCAGAGTCTGGTTTTTATGCAGACCCTGTAGTTGTTTTGGATTTCCAGTCTCTTTATCCCTCAATGATCATTGCGTACAACCTGTGCTATTCTACATGCCTTGGGAACATTGCCCCTTCAAAGGCAAATACACTCGGCGTTAGTCCATTTTCACCAGATCCGGATATTCTGCGGAAGTTAAAAGATCAAATACTGCTTACTCCTAATGGTGTTATGTACGTACCTTCAAAGGTACTTCTACTCATTTCTCTCTCTTTCCCCTTTAAATTTATTGCTTCAGCCAAATAAAATGCATGTATATTTTATGACGACCATTTTTTCTTTTAACTTTTCTCTCTGCTTTTTTAGAACTGTGTTTTGGTACGCTTATGGGGAATATCCATCTTATTTTTGAAATATTCTAGATAACGCTGAAGCAGTTTCTCTATCTCTCTTGATGTTTATTAATGTTACACAGGTTCGTAAAGGTATATTACCCCGCTTATTGGAGGAAATATTGTCAACTAGGATTATGGTGAAACAAGCAATGAAAAAGTTGTCTCCTTCACAGCAAGTTCTTCACAGAGTATGTATATGTTTAGGAATTAAATTTTTGGTAGCACTAATATATTCTTAGATTCTCAACTCTTTTCCTCAACTTCTTTGTTTGCTCTATGTGTATTCCAATCTGTTCTTGTTTGAAATACGATTTATTGTTTGGTTTCTTTCTGTATATGTAATCTGATCTCTACATTCTCAAGGTTGGTTGGTAAAATGATTGTGTCCATTTTACTTCATCTCGGATGGATTCTATTGGAATATTGTTTCAGTAGTGGCTTATATTGTGCACTTCATGTACTTAGATTAAATTTACATTTTGTTTTTTTTCCAGATTCTTAATGCAAGACAGCTAGCTTTGAAACTAATAGCAAATGTTACATATGGTTATACTGCTGCTGGGTTTAGTGGTCGCATGCCTTGTGCAGAGCTTGCAGATAGTATTGTTCAGTGTGGTCGTAGAACACTGAAAAAGGCTATTTCATTTGTAAATGCTAATGACAAGTGGAAGGCCAAAGTTATTTATGGCGACACTGACAGGTATGCATTTTCTTTTCATTATTAATGGGGTAAGACCGAAGAGTCTATACCAAGAACTCTTTTATCACTTTTCTCTTTTGTAGGGTGTATTGAACGGATTCAGGAGTAGTGAAATATTCTTCATTACGATCATTTCACCTTTTTTATTTTTTCGTATTTGAGTGCAAGCTTTTCAGGTTGACCAGCTTTATTTTGTGCAGTATGTTTGTACTCCTAAAGGGACGTTCTCTTGAAGATGCTTTTAAAATTGGGAATGAGATTGCATCTGAAATCACTGCAATGAGTCCAAATCCAGTTGCTCTTAAAATGGAAAAGGTTTATCATCCGTGCTTCCTCCTTACTAAGAAGCGATATGTTGGTTATAGCTATGAAAGCCCTAAGCAAGTGGACCCTGTTTTTGATGCTAAAGGTATTGAGACAGTTCGCAGGGATACATGTGAGGCTGTTTCCAAAACAATGGAGCAGTCTTTGAGACTCTTTTTCGAACAACAGGACATTTTTGAGGTACAAGCGCATTTTACTTGACATGCATATGTGCAAACGGACACAAGCACACACACGCCTTCTTTTTTTAATCATTTGACCTATACTATCTTTTTAGTTAGAATTTAAAGCTTGGTGTAACTGGTTTTGGAAAAATGTTTGGGGAGGTTGCTTAATATTTGCAAGTATTTATTTTTCTAGAAAGAGATTGTAAAATCTTTTATCGGGGATCTAAATCACGATCCTTGTGCTATTTGTTTGGGGTTTGTAACTAAACTTTTTAATCTTGGCCTCTATGTAATTATGACCATCTTCTTATTCTCACAGGTAAAAGCATATCTGCAGCGTCAATGGAAGCGGATCCTGTCAGGAAGGGTGTCTCTTCAGGATTTTGTCTTTGTGAAGGAAGTTCGGTTAGGCACCTACCGTACAAGGGATTCCTCATTACTCCCACCAGCTGCAATAGTGGCCACTAAAGCAATAAGAACTGATCCAAGGGCGGAGCCACGTTATGGAGAACGAGTTCCTTATGTCGTCATACACGGGGAGCCGGGGGCTCGTCTGGTTGATATGGTTGTGGATCCCTTGGAACTCTTGACTGTTGGTTCACCCTACAGATTAAATGATCTGTATTACATCAACAAGCAGATACTCCCAGCGCTGCAGCGGGCGTTTGGACTTGTTGGAGCCGACTTGAAGAAGTGGTTCTTGGAAATGCCCCGACCAGTCCGGGAGTCATTTTCCAAACGCCCCCTCTTCACTTCAAACCCCCATCGAACCCGAATTGATTATTACTATCTCTCAAAACATTGTATAGTTTGTGGCGAGTTGGTCGATGCATCAACCCATCTCTGCAAGCAATGTTCCCAAAACAAAACTGCAGCTGTAACTGCCGTTGTTGGAAGAACTTCAAAGTTGGAGAGAGAGATGCAACATCTTGCTGCTGTAAGTTACATTACCTACTTAACCAAAAATTATTATTAGTCGGTACATCCACATTACATTTTTGCGTCTGTTTTCCCATCTGCCATTTCTGATGCCAGATATGTCGACATTGTGGTGGCGGAGACTGGCTTGTGGAAAGTGGTGTAAAGTGCACTTCGCTTGCTTGTCCTGTGTTCTATGAGAGGTGCAAGGTCCAGAAAGAACTTCAAGGCCTTGCGGCTGTTGCTGCTGATCAAGGTCTCTACCCAAAATGCATGGTTGAATGGTTTTAAATTGCCTCAACAAAACATGCCCTGAGGCTGTCTGATGCCATGTTACAAAATGATTATTTTGTGCCCGTGTACACGTACAAGAATCAGAAATTACATGCATAAATGTGTATATAAGCATACTTATTAAGCTACCCCATGTTGTACATAGTTGCTCTTCCTGTTAATGTTATAATTGTTGTACTTGTAAAATGTACCATATTAACAGGTCTTGAATAGTCGATTCCTATTATTCTTCCCTTTCATTTGGGGCATTAGTAATGTTTTTGAAATATGGGATAATGGATAACCTTCCTCTGAAAAATCGAAAATCTTTTATTACCTCCTAGTCTTTTTCACTTTCTCAATGCTCATTAATCTAAACAGTGTTTATTTTTTATTCCAAATAAAGTTTATTTTCGGATAAAATATATATGAGAATTAATTTTATCCTATCATAGTAATTAATCCCATAGTGTACCAAAGATAATACCTAGTATAATCCAAACCTCAATTATTTGTCAAAGTTATTTTCTCTTCATCTTTTCCTCTAAATTTGAAGAGACTAAAAAGTACGAGTCTTGCACCTATTTTAGTGTCGTTTACTTTGTAAATTTGAATTTTTAATTCGAGTTGAGATGTAATATTTTTTTAAAATTTTTTATTGTAATAGAAAAAATTAAATGTGATAATTTTTAAAAATTTTTAACTGTAAAAATTTAAAATTAAAAAAAAACTCGAACGAATGAAATTCATTCATTTCTTTTCCAAATCTCCTGTCTCACAAATAAAGTTTATTTTCGGATAAAATATATATGAGAATTAATTTTATCCTATCATAGTAATTAATCCCATAGTGTACCAAAGATAATACCTAGTATAATCCAAACCTCAATTATTTGTCAAAGTTATTTTCTCTTCATCTTTTCCTCTAAATTTGAAGAGACTAAAAAGTACGAGTCTTGCACCTATTTCGGTCTCGTTTATTTTGTAAATTTGAGTTTTTAATTCGAGTTGAAATGTGATATTTTTTTAGAGTTTTTTATTGTAATAAAAAAAATTAAATGTGATATTTTTAAAAAAATTTAACTGTAAAAATTTAAAACTGAAAAAAAATTTGAATGGATGAAATCAAGAGTCATTCATTTCTTTTCCAATCTCCTCTGTCTCACCAAACATTAACTATCTAATGGGCCTAAAGGCCCATGGTTCAAAAACCCATTATCCATCTCCTGTCTACTAAATCAAGCCCACTCTAGGGTTTAAGCCACCCTTTCTTCTCCTCTCCCTCCCTGCACATCTTCCATGGAGGTTTAAGCTCAAAGTTAAGCCTAGAGTCTCTCACTCTCTCTCTCTCGAATGACACATTCTCCATTCTCGCTCCTCATCCTCCGACGCCTTTCTCTCTCATCCCCTAAACTCTACCGTCCTCCCCTCTTTCACCTCCTCACCACCACCACCAAACCCCTCTCAACTTCCCCAACACCTTCGCCTTCCTCCTCCGCAGACTCAAACCCACCGCCGTCGACGCTCTCGGCTCGCCTGAGCTTCGTCTTCGACCAAATCGACGCAATCGAGAGAGACCGCTCCGAGACCCGCCGGCGGCAGCAGCAGCAACCGGAGACAGTAGAATCGGAGCTCGCCAAACATGGCGAGATCGCTAATTCGAATACGACCGATTCCAACACAGTTGTCGTCGTGCGGGAGTCCGAAATTCGAGAGGCCGAGGTTTCGTTTGGAGTTGAGGCCAGGAGCGAGGTGGAGCTGGTGCATCCATGGCCGGAGTGGATTGAATTGATGGAGAGATTGGTTCAGCAGAACTACTTCGATCATCGGAGGAAGGACGAGGATAAAATGATCGAGGATTTGGGGTTTGATCACCGGTATCAGGATTCTAGGGCTGGAGGCGACGCTGGTGGATTGGATTTCAGCAATTTCAAGCTTGTTCAGACCGCCTGCGTCAATTTCGGAAAGGACCGGTTCGATATTTTGAGGTTCGTAGTTCCGTTTCTCAATTCATTGTTTTGATAATTGCGGACTGATTACTCGAGTAAACTAGGGCGAAATCAAGCTGCTGAACTTGCTAAAATGTTCCCATTAGTCCTTTCTAACATTTTCTTGTCCATAAACTTTTTTTGTTAACAAAAATTCTCAATTTTTATGAACTCGGAGTCTAATCATGAAGTTAACCCAAATCAAAATTGTAGCTTTAAGTCGAAAATCCAATTAAGCAATTCGAATATGTATATTTGATGCCACAATTAAGACTTTAGCTCTGATTGTAAGATAATGGGGTTTCTAGTTTTCCTCCATTGTTTTTCCTCTTTCTGCTAGGGCTAGTGTATGGTGTTTTTCTCGTTCAATGTTGCTAATTCATGTGCTGGTCTGCTGGGTTGACAATGTTGTAACTTGTAATAACTGCCAGCTTGTTCTGGAGGTGCTGAGACAGAAAAATTAATTTCAGGTCCTTGTCGAGACAGGATATTCAGAATTTGGTGGGTTTCGGATGCCCAAGTGCAGACAAGAAAGTGGTTTTTTCTGCAAAATTGTTGAGGAGACACGTGCATCTTGATGAAGGAGATGTGAGTACTGTTTTATTAAACTTGACAGCGTCATGTTCCTAGTTGATTCTCTTTTCCTGTTAATTTGATCAAAACTAAAAATAATATCTGTTAACAATTTCCTTCATGTTGATTGAATTTTCGCAACTATAACTATCTTTTGACGGTTCTACCTTATCTTTTTATGTTTCTTTTTGCTTTGGTAATTTTGCTTTCCTCCAAAGTTTTATTTTTTGCGTACTGGTTATTGCATTATTAACTTTTATTCATGTGTCAGGTTTGTAGTTCCTGCAGTTTGAGGAATTCCTGTGAAAGAGCTTACCTCCTAACCTTAAAAGAGGATGAGGCGCGGACTATTGACATTATGCGTGTTTTATTGGCATTTGGTTTTGATCCGCTGAATGGATCAGTAGTGAACCAATCCCTTCTGAAGCAGAAATCCGTGAAGACCGTAGTCCGTAAATTGCTTCATGAGGTTGTCAAGTTGAGCTCTGTACCAATAGATCCTAATCTTCCACCTCCAATAATTAGAAAGCCTCCCCCAAAAGTAAAACAGCCACCTCCACCTCCAAGGAAACGTGTTGGACGTGATGACATTGAGATGAAAAAAGGAGATTGGCTATGCCCCAAGTATGTTCTTCTGTCACATTTTTCCCACTAATGTCCCATGCTTTGTCTTTTGTGATTAACATGTTGGATGGACTACTGCAAAGGGTGCACTTCAGTTTTTCTGTGGAAAACCTTTTTACTTGCAATATTTTTTATAGCTGTTTCTCTCAGTCATATTGTAACGGGATAACACATTATTCTGGACACATTCTTGGAAATATCTACAATCAGGATGTAATGCTTTTAATTAGAGTAGACCTCCAAATGTATTTATTCTGATACATGCTTACATAGGTGATAGATAATAACCCGCCATCCTAGTGATACTAGATGTTGCCACTTGCCAGTACTATCAGTTGCTTTCTTGAATTGCATTTGATGGATTGGATGGATGTGTTATATATTGTTACTCTAGAGTCTAGGCTGTGCTTAGAGTTGTAATTTTGTGCTCAGATTTTCTTAAAATTGTTAATTTTCTATCAGGTGTGACTTCATGAATTTTGCGAAGAACACTGTGTGCCTGCAATGTGATGCCAAACGTCCAAAAAGACAGCTGCTTCCAGGCGAATGGGAATGCCCGCAGTAAGATTTCATTCCCTGTACTTTTTGTTTTAGGAACAATCATACTAAATGCTAGTGAAAGTGCTATATGTGTGTGTGTGTCTCAAGCTTTATCATCCATGGGCTTTATTCATTCCTCTGTTGATTAGTTATATTCTGTTAGATAGCTGATATTTCTTGCTGCTTGATATACGTTTGCTCTTGACCTCTTTAAGATTTTTTGTGCTTGCCTTCTTCACCGTTGTAAAATATTTCTGGAGCTCTAAAAATAAAATAAAAAACCCTCGCCATTGGTTCTATTGTCTGGCAGGTGTAACTTCTTAAACTATCGGAGAAACACAGTGTGTTTTCATTGTGATTGCAAGCGTCCACCTGATGAAATCATGGAGAACAGAATGCAAGAAAAGCAACATGGTCCTGGGATGACGTTGGACAAAATGCCTAAGCGTTCAGAGGTTTCTAATGCATGGAATTTCGACTTTGATGACGATGAATCAGATGGGGCAGATGTTGCTGCTTTTGAGTATGCAGATTCTCCAGTCATTGGTGAAGCTACTTCTTTAGATAACGAAGCTAAAGGAGGAAACTTTGGAAGGCCTGAATATGATTTTAAGAAAGCTAGCAGAGAGCCAAGGATCCATGACGCGAAATATTCAGATGCATGTACTAGTAGACGCGGTGTTGGCTTTGATGATTTTGATGATGAAGAAGATGATATTGACAACTATGAGTTAGAAACTGGTAAGAGAAGTTCAGTGCCTATGGTATCTTCAAACGATCTTTCTGAGTTTGAAGGGCATTCTGAATCAGAAGACATTATAGAGTCGGATAATGCTCGTCATAGAACAAAATCCCCATCTTACAACAAGCAACCCAAGGTCATGCGTAAAAGGAGAGTGTTCTCCGGATCTGATGACGATGAACTAGATTCAGATTCCGATAGCAAGCTTTCTGCTAATCCCAAGTGGAAATCCAGTCACGTTGCTGATTTTAGATCAAGAAATAGGGGTAAATTTGGTTCAAAAGGGCCTTCCAAGAGTCTCAGCTTTGGTTCTGAAGATGAACTTGGGCTCTACTCCGATATGGATGACGACCTAGGTAAAAATTTTGGATCAAGGCGAGGCAAAGCTAATGATTCTCGCCAGAGAAGATGTTTCAACTCCAATGATGATCCATTTTCTGGTTCAGAATCTGAAAACGACAATTCACGCTCTTGTAGGGGTAGATTTGGGGGAAAAGCTGAATCCAATAGAAAAGGGAGAGAATCCAAAGGGCGGAGCAATTATAACTTCACCAGGGACACAAAATTCACATCCAACAGGACGAAGAACGGTAGACGGAACTCTTTCGAAGATGATGATGATGATTTTGGTGGATCTTCAAAAGGGTATCCTGGTAGAGGATTTAGAGGGAACAATAATAGGCAGAGAATGGGTGATAGAAGGGGTGATATGGGGAATTTCACGGGACCTAGAAATGGAGGATTTGGGAAGCACCAAGGTGAAAGACGTAATTCATATGACAGAGGCAAGGACGACAAAGATTTTGGCGAGTTTAGGAACAGTAGACGTGTTATAGAGAGATAGATTCAAACTTGAGACATATTCAGTTTTGGATTAGAGTGGAATAAAGGGTTCAAAATTTTTGTAGATAGTTTGCATCAAGTTTTTAATTTTTCTGCATTCAGTTTTTAATTTTCATCATTATTATTATTATTTTTTTGGCTGCAACTTGTTCGGAGTATTGTGAAAAATGGTTTTAGCGTCATCTTGTATTATGGTATGAATAGAAGAAATTAACAAAAATGAAAATCAGATATTGAAAATCAGATGTTCTTCGATACGAATAATGGGTTCTCTTTAGTTATTTTCAAGTCTTTACTAGTAGTAGTTTAGTAGAAACGGAAAAGATGATGACCGTGTTGTCTGGAGCTAAAGTAAAAGAGTTACTTCAGAAAATGATGGTGCATTTGGAGTTATTTTTGTTTTTTTTTTTTTTTTTTTTTTTACGTTTTTTGAGAAATAAAAAATAAAAATGAGAGAGAAATGACGTTTGTCATAATTAAAAATAAAAAATAAAAATGAAAATGATTTTTTGATGATTTAGTGTAAAATGTGAGAGAAATGAAAAATGATTTTTAGTTATTTTTTATTTTTTGTTTTTGTTTTCTCCTCTCTCGAACAGAGAGGGAGAGAGAGATATTAATTGATTTTTTTATACTGAAAATAATATCTTAATAAAACTACCAAATGTATTTTTAAAATGATTTCTGTCTGAGATTAAAAATGTTTTCATTTCTATTTTCATACAAAAAAATAAAATTATTTTAGAATGAGTTTTAAATGCACTCGAACGTGACAAAGTATTCTAACACGGGTAGTTTATAGACCAGAAATACGACATGTCATTTATATAATAGATTAATTAAATTTAAAATGAGATACTTTAATTGAAAAACGGTGAGAAATAACAAACTTTTATATAAAACTTTCAAGAAAGAAACTATATTCTAAAAATTTCACTACTACTAAAAAAAACATATTCTAAACATTCTCTTGAAGAGAGAGAAAATTATGGGTTTTCTTTGTTAATTTTTCCATTAAAGATTTTTAACTTAAATTGATTTTTAAATTAATTTCACACTAATTTTGGATGTACAGTGGGATGAGCGTTATAAGGAATTAAGGTTTTTATTAAGGTTAACAATTTGTGTTAATGGGTTGAGTTCGTGTTCAACTCTTTTATTATTCGTATCAAAGAACATCAACTTAAAGAGAACTCATTTATTAAACTTGTTAAAAATACAAATCTAACACTATCCGTTAATTAATCGTATTATTCATGTCAATCTATTTAACACATTTAAATTAATATATTGAATAAATAATTGATACTATTAAGATTTATTTAACATAATCATACCACCTTTAACAATTTTACCGATTCAAATTTAGAATTTGAATTTTGCTACAGTAAAAATTTCTCAAAAATAGTTACATTTAATTTTTTACTATAATAAAAAAATTATAATATAAAATCACATTTAAACTCAAATTATCGAACTAAACGGTAATTTCTTACGATTTGAAAACCGGAGCCAGACAGACAGGGACAAGACGAAAAATGGGAGCGAACCACAATTTCTAAAACTCCCGGGGTCAGTTTTTAAAGTTTTATTACTGGGTCGTCATCCCAAAAATTTCAAATCTAATCCGGTATAATCACCCATAGAGGACCCGAGAAACAGCCACAGACGAACCGCCACGATCCACCCACCGATCCACGTGTACGGTAAATAAGAGCCCATAATACAAAACCCGTACTCTCCCTCCTTGACCTCACCTTCCAACTTTTCCACATGCTCTGCGAAATACAAAATTCTTACGAATCAAAAAACCCACAAAAAACTGAAAACAAAAAAAACATCTTCTCATTTCCTTTCGCCTTAGTTTCGCGGCAACGCCTCTCCACTCTTTTTCTCTCTGTCTCTAACTTTCTCTATCTAAATCACTTTCTCTCTCTGTAAAAGCCTCTCCGAGCATCACCTTCTCTCTCTCTCTCTCTCTCTTCAAAAAGCCTTGTCTTTCTGCTCCTCTCTCTAAAATGGTTCAATTTGGATTCCGGTGAAACCCTACGACGACCGGCGAGGGCTTCCGATCTGTGATTCTAGGGTTTGGAAAGGTGAAAGTCGTTTGAGTTTTCTCTTGTGTTTGTCGGTTTTGTTTTTTCTCTTTCATTTTCCAAAATTTTGATTTTTTTATTATTCTTTTTTAAAAATTTTTGATAATCAATTTTGATTTTTTTTTTTCCAATGATATTGAAAATTTCTTGAGGTTTCTGGATTTTCTTATTGTCCGATGCTGATTCATTTCGATCATTGATGTTCGATGGCGATTGTGGCGGAATTCAGTTGCAATCGGCTTCGAAGCAGTTTGTGGCATTTCAATCCTGGTGGCTTTTCTGCTGAAAGTTGATTTTGAATTTTACATTCTTGGGAAATTTCTTCTCTTTCGAAGTAGAAATGAGTGAAGAATTAACTTATTTTTGAATATATTCTGCTTTCGCCTGTATCTAAAACCATTTTGCACGGAGAAGATAATGGAAAACATAAAATATATATATATATATATATTTTTTTCTTTCTTTCTGTCTTCCTGCCTTCTTTTTCTTTTTTCCCTGTGTTTCTCCTGAAATGCTTCTGCGATTCGATTGCTTTTCTCTCCGGAGCTTTTGAATTATAGGTTCGACAGTTCTACTGGAATTTGAGGATCTGTCAAAAACTATGTATATTTGCATATATAATTGAAATTATATTTCTTTTTTGTCAGAATTAAGGTCGAGAGTATTTGATCCGTGCATCGTTAATTGTTTTCCTGCTTACTTTGTTGATTTCGTAGCTCTAATTTGAATTACTGGAGATTTGTCAGTTGATATTTTCAATTTGCTAAGTTTTGATTCTGATGATGATGTGTATCAGGTTTAGTTGTTGCATTTCAATGGCTCCAACGAAAAAACCTCGAGTAAATAAGCGGTATGCCGGTATAAGTTGGTATTCGCCTGTTAAAGATGTTGGGAACCCGAGCAAAAGCAAGCAACGGGCTTTAGTTTCAGTTTCTCCTGAGAAAGATGGCGGGAACTCAAACAAGCCCAGTCAACGAGTAATTCCAAGTTTACTTTTATATTTTTATTCTCTTGGATTTACATGGAGATCATAATAGTTTGATTTTATGAATGTCTTGATTTGTTGCTTGTTCTACTGTTTGTGTAGAAGAAAAAACTATCAGATAAGTTGGGACCTCAGTGGAGCAAGGAAGAGCTTGAGCGCTTTTATGATGCATATCGGATGTATGGGAAAGACTGGAAGAAGGTATGTCATATCTGTTTTCCTGGGTCCATCTTTATTTTGCAAGTTTGAGTTGATAAGCAAAAAATTTACATAATTTTTTGTTTGAGTTTTTAGTTAATTTGATATTAAGCTTCATTGTCCCGTCCCTACCCCAGTCACCCACATGATGGGTTGGATCAATTTCTGCCTAAATTCATTTTTTTTTTCCCTTGAGTTACATATTCTTCATTTCTGTGGATTTCTAGGTCGCTGCTGTAGTGCGCAACAGAAGCGTTGAAATGGTAGACGCTCTTTACAGTATGAACCGGGTACATGTTTCCCATGGTTGCTAGATAAATGTATATTCAAACAACACAAAATGCACGAGTATGTATAGGATATTAAATCTGATATTATTTTGATTTTTAGGCATACTTGTCATTGCCAGAGGGGACAGCTTCTGTAATTGGCCTTATAGCAATGATGACAGATCACTATAATGTTCTGGTGAGATAAATAAGACTTTTAGTTTGCAACTCCGCATCTTTATTAATATTAATCCAGTATTCTTTTGTATATTGACATTTACATAAATAGGAGTGCTTAATTTTCACTTCAAACATTGGTTTTTCTTTTTCTCTGAGGTGGAAACAAGTGTTTCTACTTTTTTTTTTTTTTTTTTGGCTCAAAACTGTTAATACAATTTTACCTTGCATTTAAACAATCTCGTGGATAAATCTTTTTTTGTTCTTGCTTTCATGACTTTAAACTTAGGAATCGAGTGATAATGAGCAAGAGAGCAATGATGCTTCAGGACTTTCTCGGAGACCTCAGAAACGCAAGCGTGGCAGGGATCAAGTTAGCACCTCAAAAGATGTTTTCAAGTCTTATTCATCCGCCGATGGATGCCTATCACTGCTAAAAAGGAAACGGTCTGATGGTAAAATAACGTGTTGTTTCATGTATTGGTTATCACAAGGTTTTGAAAGGGAAAACGGAAACTGAGGCGTTTTGTCTAATCGAGGCGAGGCGTAAGCCTCAAATTGCATCGAGGCGTAAGCCTCGAATGTAATTAAATAAAATCATAAAAATAAAAAATATCCATAAATATTCAACAATAATCAACTCACAAACTTAGTTCATCTCATCACAAAAGCCATAAAAAACTATAGCAAGAACCCGAGGAGATAGCACTAGGGGATAAACACTGCTAGAAGAATGAAAATTGTAGTTCTCTCATTCATATTCCTAGGCATGTACACCGGCCTCTTTATATAGATAAGCCAGGGAACAACAAATAAAAGGAAACAAGATAAATAAGGAAACAAGATAAAACCTGTTCATCATGCCTAATCACCTATCCCAAAACTTTAGAGAAATCATTCAAAGTCAACTAATAACTTTCCCCCACAGTTATTCCATACTCCTACACTCCCCCTCAAGCTAGGTAGTACACATTGTACATACCTAGCTTGTCTATCAATTTTTTAAACAAGGGTTTACTCAATCCCTTGGTCAGAATATTAGCCACTTGTCCAGTATTAGGAACATATGTCATGCAAATAGTTTCTTCTTCTATCTTTTCTTTGATGAAATGCCGGTCAACTTCCACATGCTTGGTCCTGTCATGATAAACAGGATTATGTGAGATATTTATAGCTGCCTTGTTGTCACAGTAGACACGTAGAGGTAGCATAACTCCGACCTTCAGCTCATCTAACAATATTTTCATCCATAGACCCTCACAAATCCCGTGAGCTACTGATCTCAATTCTTCCTCTGCACTACTTCTAGCAACAACTACTTGTTTCTTACTCCTCCAAGTTACAAGATTACCCCACACAAGAGTACAATACCCCGAGGTAGACCTTCTGTCCTCAACATCGCTAGCCTAATCTGCGTCAGTATAGACCTCTATGCTTCTATCTTCTCCCTTATTGAAGAATAAACCTCGCCCTGGTGTTCCTTTTAAATATTTCAGAATCCTATAGACAGCTTCTAAATGTTCTTTAGTAGGAGAATGCATGTATTGACTAACTTTACTCACCGCGAAGGCTATATCAGGTCTAGTATGAGACAAGTAGATAAGTCTCCCAACTAGACGTTGAAAGTGGCCATTGTCTACAGGACTATTATCCCTTATATAGGAAAATATCAGGAACAGAAAGAGAGAATAGCTCTCTTTTTTTTCTTATTAATTCCAGAGAATAGAACACACTTAAATAGAAAAGGAGAATACACGTTAAACCCTAGGATCCCACATAATCAGGGATTTTATTCTATTATTTGATTCTTTCCTAGTTTATTCAAATATCAAATCCTAACTTCACAATCCTGATTTGCCGACACTCCCCCTCAAGTTGGTGCAAATATATCAATCATGCCCAACTTGCTCATTTGAAGTTCGAATGGCTGTCTCAACAGGCCCTTAGTCAAAATGTCTGCCACTTGCTGTGCAGTGGGTACAAATGGAGTACAAATTATCCCTCTTCTAGCTTTTCTTTTATAAAGTGTCTATCAATCTCAACGTGTTTCGTCTTGTCATGTAGGACTGGATTGTGAGCAATACTGATTGCTACTTTGTTGTCACAATACAGTTTCATAGGAAAACTTATTGGTCGCTTAAGTTCTTCCAAAACCCTTCTTAGCCAAAGAACCTCACACACTCCTTGCCATTGATCTAAATTCCGCCTCAGCGCTGCTTCTAGCGACTACACTTTGCTTCTTGCTTCTCCAAGTAACTAAATTGCCCCAAAGGAATGTACAATAGCCTGATGTTGACCTTCTGTCAGTGACTGAACCAGCCCATTCAGCATCTGTATACACCTCAATTCCTCTCTTCTCATTTTTCTTGAAGAAGAGTCCTTTCCCGGGTGTTCCTTTTAGATAACGAAGAACTCGATACACAGCTTCCAGATGTTCTTCATATGGGGAATGCATAAACTGGCTCACCATGCTCACAGCGAAAGCGATGTCGCGACGTGTATGTGACAAGTAGATCAGTCTCCCAACCAATCGTTGGTATCTCCCTGTGTCTACTGGGACGCCATCTTTTACATCTCCGAGTTTAACATTAGCTTCTATCGGAGTATCTGAAGGTTTGCAACCACTCATTCCAGTTTCTTTCAGAAGATCTAGAATATACTTCCGCTGCGAAACTACAATGCCCTTTTTCGATCTTGCCACTTCCATTCCAAGGAAGTATTTTAGCTGGCCTAGATCTTTGATTTCAAATTCCTTGGTTAGGTTCTGCTTCAGTCTACTCATCTCCAGTCAGAATAATATCATCCACATAGACGATCAAGACAGACATCTTGTCTTTGGTAGACCTCTTTGTAAAGAGGGTGTGATCCGATTGCCCCTGTGTATATCCTTGGTTCTTAACAAACTTTGTAAATCTCTCAAACCAAGCTCTGGGAGACTGTTTAAGACCATATAGAGACCTCTTTAGTTTGCACACCTTGGTTCCAAAATTCTCAATGAAGCCCGGTGGGGTTCCATGTAGACTTCTACCTCTAAGTCTCCATTCAAAAAAGCATTCTTCAAATCCAGTTGATTCAGAGGCCAATCAAGATTAGCAGCAACAGATAAGAGTACCCGAACTGTGTTTAGTTTCGCCACTGGAGAGAAAGTCTCTGAGTAGTCCACTCCATACTTTTGAGTGAAGCCTTTAGCCACCAGGCGAGCCTTGTATCTTTCCAATGATCCATTTGAATTGTACTTGACAGTCAAAACCCATTTACAGCCAACAACTGTCTTCCTATCTGGCAGATCCACTTTTTCCCAAGTAGCATTCTTCTCCAGAGCTCTCATCTCCTCGAGGATTGCTTCTTTCCACTCCGGAACATTTAGAGCCTCCTGGACACTATTAGGAATAACCACACTAGACACTTGTGAAATAAAGGCACAATATGAGGGTGAAATATTTTTGTAAGACACAAAATTCGACAATGGATGTTTTGTACAAGTCCTAACACTTTTCCTAAGAGCAATGGGAAGATCAAGTTGACTAGAATGGTTTGACTCAGAATTACCTGGAGGATTATGCTTAGGAATTATTGACGAATCATCTTGAATGTCATGATCTAACCTTTGATTAGACTCTTGGTGGTGCTGCGGAATAGTGTCTCGTCTTTTCTGCGCTTGATACTCCTTTGAATAAACAAGACCTTTAAACCGTTTCGCCCACATCTCTGTTGTTTTAGTATTTTGATTCTGAGATGGCATTACCATAGGTCGTCTATTTTCAACATTTAATTCATTTTTTTCCATTGATTTTCCTTCGGGTAATTGTTTGTGGGAAACATCATCTTGAGTAAACTCAAACGTTAAACCATCTAGAAATTCATCTTCACTCGAACTCTCCCCCCGAAGATGGGAATTGTCACTCGAACTCTCCCCCTGAAGATGGGAATTGTTGTAGTAGGGCTGTCCCTCAAAGAACGTGACATCCATAGAAACAAACATTTTTTTGGAAACGGGATCAAAACATTTATACCCTTTCTGATTTGTAGGATAACCTACGAAAATGGACTTATGTGCTTTTGGATCAAGCTTAGAACGTCTAGGTTCATGATTATGGACAAAAGCTACACTTCCAAAACTTCTTAAGGGAATATATGTTATTAGCCGAGTGGTTGGAAAGCATTCACTGAAGAGTTTCATTGGTGTTTTAAAGTTCAAAATTCTTGTAGGCAACCTATTGATCAAATATGTGGCTGTTAACACTGCTTCTCCCCAAAGGTACTTGGGAGCTTTAGCTTTAAAACTTATAGCTCTAACAACTTCAAGAAGATGTCTGTTTTTTCTTTCAGCCACCCCGTTTTGTTGAGGTGTATTGGTACAAGAACTTTGATGTACAATCCCTTTTTCAGCAAAAAAATGCCCCAACACATTGTTAAAAAATTCTTTGCCGTTATCACTTCGGAAAATTTTAATCTGAGTCTGAAATTGTGTTTGAACCATATTATGAAAATTTTTAAACACTGTTTCAGCATCAGATTTTTCTTTTAAAAGGAAGACCCAAGTGACTCTAGTGTGGTCATCAATGAAAGTAATAAACCAGCGTTTTCTAGAAAAAGTTGACACTCGAGAAGGACCCCAAATATCACTATGAATCATGGTAAATGGTTTCGATTTTTTATATGGTTGTGATGGAAAAACGGCATGATGATGCTTTGCTAATTCACAAGATTCACATCGAAACATACAAGGATTTTTATTCATGAATAACTTGGGTAACAAATGCTTTAAATATTGAAAATTTGGATGTCTTAATCAATAATACCATAACATAATCTTACTGTCACTAGAAACAGAAATAGAATTGAAACAGGCCTGTTGATCTTGTCTTCCAAAGGTTGATCCATTATTGAAGAGGTAGAGACCACTATCCAGTCTAGCACTCCCAATCATCTTCCCTGAGGTTAAATCTTGAAATTCACAACGAGAAGACCAAAAATTAACTTGGCAGTTATGATCACGTGTCAACTTACTGATAGACAAGAGGTTATAGGACAAATGAGGAACATGCAGGACATTTTTTAGAATTAGAGAAGGGGAAATGATAACTATTCCTTTCCCAGCAACCATAGCAAAGGAGCCATCTGCAATTTTAACTCTTTGATTCCCTGCACAAGGTGTATATGAAGAGAAAAATTGCGAATTGCCGGTCATATGATCGGTAGCACCTGAATCTAATATCCAAGAGCCATCTGATTTGGTACAGGCAGCGGCTGCAGTGAAAAAATTACCTGACTGTGCTAGAGAACAAGAGGAGTTAGAGTTTTCCTAAAGATTGGGACTGAAACATTTTTTGTAGGTGCTCTATCTGTTCCTTTGTAAAAGGAAGGGATGCTGATGGAGATTCTTGTTTTGGATCTGTGCGGCTTGCTTGGAATAGTTTCCAACAGTTTTCCCGAGTATGCCATACTTTCCTGC